GATGATTTCATAAAAAGAATTGTGGGGTCTGCTGTATTATTCTTGGCTGGTGGTTGGTAGATTTGTGTATGTAAAGTGGTTTGTCGTTGGGTTTTCTATATGGCTGATATATACATATTCTTATGTTGAGTGTGACATCTCGGAAATCAACTTATTTTAGTTTTGTTTTTATGTCTATATCAAATACTATATTTTGGAAAGATTTTGTGATTATTTGTCTATTTTTTTCCTGTTTTTGTTCTTAAGATTATGAAACTGTTTTCTCTGTAGAGTTATATCTAATTTTTGTCCATATTTTGCTTAGTTCCTGTAGTACATGTATATCTATAAGCTCGCGGTTTTTAGCTCGATCACAACTTCCCATATTTAACGTCAAACGTTCCTTCTTTCTTTAGCCAAGCGTTTTTTTCCCGTGGTTGAGGATTTTAAATTCGTTTGTGCTTCTTTTTATTTGTTTCTGGGCTAAGAAGATGGCTTTATGTAGGGTGGATTTGGTTATTGAAGTATATATATATATATATATTTATGATAGTAAACATTGAAGTCAACACTCAGAGACGACAGATTGTTTCATGCTAAACGCAATCATCAGGCCATATCATTGTGTTTGTCATGAAAGAGTCTGTCGCCTCTGAGTGTTGACTTCAACATTCACTTTTATATTTACACACGCTCTATCTCTGATATTGAGCACTTTATCCCATAAATATAGCACAGCTTAAAATTATATTTCTTCATATATATATATATATATATATATATATACTATAAAAACTGATATATTGAAATTGTATGTAACTATATACAGCAATAATGCGAAAAACACCAAGAAGAGAGAGAGAAAAAAATAATAAAATAAATCACCGTAAAGAGGAGAATTGAATCAATAACAACAATAAACAAGAAAATTAAATAAAAAGAGGCTAACCGGTTTTTGATTCTCCCTCTTCAGACTCAATCGAGGACAAATGTGTAAATTGCATGCAAAACATTAAAAAAAATAATACACAGTCAGAGGAAAAAATATAATCACACTCCGATTTCATTTATGCCCATTAAATATTTTTCTTCTGTTAATTCCCTGATTGTTCTTAATTTATGTCCAGGTTTGAGAAAAGTCTAATGAATTCTAACCTACAAAAATTATTTGTTTCCAAGTTTTTATCATTACAACAGACTATTTAAGTAGTGCCAATAATCATGCGCTATCTTTCAAGTAAATTTACACGCAACTGCGGTTTTAATTGCTTGTTCATAAAAACGTAAAACATTAAAATGTTAGTCAAAAATTAACAAAGGATGAGAGTTCGTTGTCGGAAAAGACGAAATAAAATCTTCTATTTTGCCAATTTAGATGTTCTGCAAAATTCATTATAACTAATTCCCTGAAAACGATCCCAAAAATGTCTTTTTTTTTCTTTCACCGAAACAAGAACTATATAATCAACTGAAGGTGGTTGTTACTCGTGTTTATATTATGGAAGAATTTCATTTTATTTAAGCGCTTTTGTCGAGATGTCAAAGTAGTTAACGCCATCTCCCAACCTTCCTGTCAGTTCTCCCCAAAGACGTAAACTTCAAAGGACAGTCACAATTCCTGGGAGGCTGGAGACAAAGTGTATTATGGCTGCACAAACGTACTCCCGGAGTCACTCACCGGAACAGGAAGCAGCGAAAACAATAACAACATGGCGGGTGAGGCGAAATCTTTTTAACGAAAAAAATGCAAAAGCAAACATCTTAAATGAGGCGAGTGGTAGCGAAAGAAACAACAACAACTTCAGTAATATCTATAATAGGTGACGGTGGTTGTTATGGTAAAATGATAAGGTTTTAAGCGGACTAACAAGGGTTACCTTTTGAAATTCTCGGTTTAACATTCAAGCATAAATAATTTGATACATATTTTGATCAATATGAAGTAACAAATTCAAATTCTAACTTCGTCTAAAGTAGATTTTATTGTACATTAAACCAGCTTGCCATACAACCAGAAAAAGAAACAAATTAATATTGTGTGTGTGTGTGTGTGTGTGTGTGTGTGTGTGTGTGTGTGTGTGTGTGTGTGTGTGATGACCTCTACAAAAAGTGATATTTAGTTTTAAAATGAATTTTTAAAAATGAAAAATCTTTCTTGAAGCTTTTATTTAATTTTATTTTCAAGCTAATAGATTAAATTTACTATTTCCAATAAGCAAAATACTTTGCTGTATTTCAAAAACTAATTTAAATTGACTGGAAGGAGTTTTTTTTTTTTTTTTTTTTTTTCTAAAATAACTGATTAGGTCCCTTTTTCAATCGTCTTTCATCGCAAGGTATTTTTCTTTATTAAAAATCTAACGCCCTTGGGAATGGTATCGATCCGTTTCTTCTCACCATCTCCACCTATTGTATTGAATAAATAGAAGCGTAAGCAGGGATCTCTAGGCTTGGTGGCAACCGATTCTAAAGGAAGGAAAACGCTGAATTACAAAACATAGAGGAATCAACAGAAAACTACTCCACTATCTTTCTCAATAATGCATGACACGTCACGGATAATAAAGAAAAGGGATCTGTGGAGAGTCATGATCGCCTACGTCCTGAATGGGCACTGTATTTTTAAAGTGATATACCTGTATTCATGTATATATATATATATATCCTATCTAATATCTCCCCTCTCTATATTTCTGTATTCCCTGTCTCTCTTCTCTCTCGCCTATCTATTTTATTTGTGTCTCTCTTCTCTCTCTCTCTCTCTCTCCCATTTCTCACTCTTCTCTCCCCATTTCTCTCTTCTTTCTCGCCCTCCTATCTCTCTCCTCTTTCTATTTTTCTCTTCTCACTCTCCCAACTTTCTCTCTTATTTTGCACCCTTCTCTCTCTGTCTGTCTGTCTCTCTCTCTGTCTGTGTGTGTGTGTGTGTGTGTCTGTGTGTGTGTGTCTGTGTGTGTGTGTGTGTGTGTGCCAAACATGTCAATATATTTTAAAAGATCTTCATGAAAAAGGAACATGAGGGACTTCATCTAACTTTTAAGTACCTAAGGATTCGCGTCACAAGGCGTGAATTGTTGTGAAGCTATAATGAAAAATTTCTTATGTCGAACCCCAAACAATTGGAGAATCTGACTTTCGTCAAAATTTCAGAAATTATAAAAAGAAGTTTACGACCTAAAAAAACAAACTTGTAGCGAAAAGAACCAATTTTCTGCCCATTAAACAGAAACAAGATTAATCAGTTATTCAAAATCTTCACAAATTCAGAGAAGCTCGCAAATTCTACGAATTTGAGAAACTTGGAACTCAATATTGAATATTCTACTGAGGATAAATTGATTCAATTCAAATACGGTTGATTGAAGGTATGGTTGATATATTTCATATATATATATATATATATATATATATATATATATATTGATGCATGTTTCATTAAGTTTTGTCTATTTATTTTATATATGTTTATGTATGTTTTCATTTATTTTATGTGTGTTTCATTAAGTCTTGTCTATTTATTTTATGTAAATTCTTTTCATATCGTCTGATAAGCTTAATAACATGATCATTAAAAGACGAAAGAAAATCACCATATTGATACATATTTTTAATCCTATCTAAGCTTTCGGCTTACATATTATTATCAATATATATATATATATATATATATATATATATATATATATATATATATATATATATATATATATTAGATATTGGAACAATTACAATTGAATAATTTATCTCTAAGTGCATGTGTGGAAATTATACAATAGCTGGAATTGATAAAAAGAGTATAATTTTACTGAGGACAATGTTGAAACGTACAGTATAAAAAAGAAACACAAGAAATGCAAATACTGTAACTCTGCGCATGAAATTGACAGGAAAAATTGCCCCGTTTTGGAAAATATGGAAAAACAATCATTTTCATTCTATGTGCAAAGTTAATTACGAACATTTCAGAGGTATCTATATCTACTAATAAAAAAGAATTAGAATCCTTTTTAGGATTGGTTAATTTTTATAAAAGATACCTACCAAAATACAGCAACTTAATAGAAACATTTGACGAACTCAAAAAAAAAAAATGAAGCCTTTCCCCATCACCTTTTTGGTTTTGTGGCACATTTATATATTTTTATACAAAATAAATATTGAATTTGTCTACTGATCACGTGTCGTAGAACACAATACAACTGATTAATATCAGTTTGAGATTTTAAAATTAAGTTTCTTGTTTAACCCTTTGAGCCGTGCGTTCCTGAACAATTTTAACCCTTCTGCCTGAGCTCCGAGTCAAAATTCACAAATAACTGATATGTAATGTTTCACGGTAGATATAAAAAATAGCTACCAGTGTTTAGCCACCGTTCAACCGGTGGCTGGGAATTAAGTCATTTTTCTCTTCCACTGTTCAACTGGTCACTGGGTATTACGTCACTTTTCTCTACCACCGGTAAATCGGTGGTCACGACTCAAAGAGTTAATTTCATGTGCAAATACCTCCAAAATTATTTTATTTGTTTTCTGTATTTTTAGTCGGAGTAAATTCTATGTTCGTATCGATTTTTCAGTTTTTAAAGAAAAGTATATTAAGAATAGATCTTCATTGCCATTTCCTCAGAGGAAAGAAGGGAAAATAATATTCCAGTTCGTTAGAATTCTGGAGCATCTTTTTTTTCTATTTCTTTTTTTTTTTTTTTTTTTGCAGAACTTGAAAAATGATCAAAATGTTACCTGAGGTAAAACCTAAAGATCAGATCATTTTGAAAATGATTAACCACGTTGAAACAAAAACTAACGGAACTTATATTTGCACAAGATAAATTTAGATTCCACTCGTCCATTCCTGTCAGTAAATCTTCGTAAAAATAGCTGAAAAAAAAAAACTGCATTTCGATACTGTTTTGAGTTTTCCAGGGGAGATAATACTGTAGTGGGTCAACCTTATTATTTTATTTTATTTTTTTATTTTTTTACTAAAGTTAACTCAATACGAGACTCGAGAGCTACACGACTTACGACCATATCATGTTGAAACACCGATTCTCGTACGATCACCGAAGTTAAGCAATATCGATTCTAGTCAGTACATAGATGAGTGATCGCTTCGAAACACCAGGTGTTTTAAGCTTGTATGTGCGGTTGGTGTAATGAATAATGGCTCGGAAATGGAAATCGAAGAACTGAGTTCTGATTCTAATCAGGTTCGTTATATTCACTTACACGCAAATAACGTATGAAAAGGTATAAATCCACCTCTTCTCCCCCAGCTATGGGTTAAGTAGGATGACTGGTATTAATAAATTATTACTATCTCCACAAAATTCTTGCAATCTAAAAATATTTCTGCCTTTAAATAAGCTGTAAGGAGTTGATAGGTTGTTAAAAATAAATCAAGTAATCGTGAGTCACACAGAGATAGAGGGTTACTGTAAAAATTATTGAAAAACGGTGTATTATACAGGGTGTCCCTAAAGTCTGAACAAATAGGCAAAAATAAATATTTTCAAGAAATGAAATTTAATATATTTTATTGAATTGGAATATTAACAAATAATATCTTCAATAAGATTTCCATCATTTGTGATGCAAAGGTTGCTGCACTTTGCAAGATTCACGTAACCTCGATGCAATAACTCCACATTGCCGCCAATTTTAACACATTCACTCTTTATGCGTTCAATCAAGAGTGTTGCATCTGTGATTTTCATTGAGTACACCTTCTCCTTTAGCATACATCAGAAAAAGAAGTCAGTTCTTTCTTCTATCGATAAAACTATGTTTAATCTGAGGGAGTAAAAAAAAATATAGTTAATGAGATTTCCTATGTGTCCAGAAATAACGTATGTATGAATGAAACATGCTAGGAAGTGAAGACTCTGAGAATAGATAACGATTAACCTTCAAGGTGTTAAAATTGCAGTGGTGAGGAAAGCTTCTACCCTTGACTCAGATGCAATTTATGCACATTTCAAAGCGTAAGGAAGGCATCACGTAAATGTCTCACGAGAGGCGCAACAGTAAAACCGCCTCGTCAGTTGGGGCCCATCCGTCAGAGCTACAGACTTCTGTCTTTCACCTTTTATGACCAAAACTAAATCACGGACGTAATGGTAACCACGTCAAACTATCAAGCAAGATTTTAATCTATTACCCTTTCTCATAGCTGATAATGTGTATCTGTTTCACTGCCTGAATAAAATTATTGTCACTCGCAAATTCTCTAAATATCTATGTTTTTTCTTTAAAAAATTATATATGTCCTTGTCTGTTTTCATTCTGTACAAGACCCGAGGACCACTCGAGGTAGGTTACAGAATAAGATAAATTGCATATGAGGATACGTATGGAAGATAAAAGTTAACCTTAGACGTGAACAGGTTAAGTTTGTGGTGATCGGGGAAATAACCTCTTGGGAATCGGTTTCACAGGGCAGTGTTTCGTGGGAAGAAGTTGCTCTAGTGGAACTTGCATCTCACCGGGAAAATACGAAGGGAATGAGGGTGGTTCGCTACAATATACGTGGCATGGCAGGTCTTCGCCCTGAAGGTTAGGACTGGTAGAACTAAGGAATGTAGCTCATCTGAACACTCTCCTTGGAAAGAGTGATAGAACAACAAGAGGCTTGCGACGTCTCGTCTTTTAGAAAGGAGTTGTAGGGTAGAAAATAATTTGTTACCTACAAGGATTCAAAAATGCTTCTTTTTTTTTTTGGCTCTATCGTGAGTGAAAAATGAAGACAGGGCAGACCCCACTCATATATGACAGAAGAACTTCATTTTCGACTTGATGTGGCTCTTGTAAAGGTAGAGAATATCAAGAGGAGTGAGGTACTTGCTGAAGCGGTACAGGGAACCGACCATTTTCCCAGTACCTTTTGCGATGGATCGTATTTACGAGCTCCACTTAAGGTTTTGGGTGCGGTTAAGTTCCAGTAAGCGCCCAAGGCACGGAACCTCCTGTGAGAATTCAGGTCGAATCGGTGATGATGGACCGTCACTAGTTTGGTTTTATATATATATATATATATATATATATATATATATATATATATATATATATATATATAAAAATATGAACAATGTTGTTCCCATTACGTAAGTGTTCTTTTTAAATGCTTAATTTATGAACATAATTAATTATAATTTAAATCTGCTAATATTCCTCAAATAAAGTTTCAGAAAAGTATATTTTATTTTTGGAAGATGTTTTTAATACAGAGAATTACATTGCGATGACAGACGACACAAAAAAAGGTGCTAATTCGCTATTTTTAGCTCCAAAAAAGAATGGATTCCAATCAGTATTTTTCTGTTTGAAATACACTACAGGGTATTTTAATTACTGTAAATAGTAAATTTAATCCTTTAGCTTTTAATTAAAGCTAAAATGAAAAAATACAAGAAAACCTTTTAATTTTTAAAAAATCATTTTAAACCTTACGCATCGCGAATTAGTGAAGGTACCTAGTGGAAAATAATTTGTCACCCACAAGGACGCAAAGATGCTTTTTGGTTCTATCGTGAATGGAAAGTGAATACAGGACAGATCCCGCTCATATATGGTAGAAGATCTGGCTTTTGTAATGGTAGAGAACATCAAGAGGAGTGAGGTACTTGCTGAAGCGGTACAGGGAACCGACCATTTTCCCAGAACCTTTTGCGATGGATCGTATTCTACAAGGTTTAGGTCGAGATTATGTCCCAATAGCCTCTTAATATACGGGGCAACGCACATCCGCTCATCACGAGTGGTGAAATATCTGTTTCTGATCAGCGATGGTGTAAGGTCACTAGTTTGGTTTTTGAGGCATTAAATGTGACCAACCAGTCCCCACCACCACCACTGGGCTGCTAGAGCTAGACCAGAGGCGAGATCAGCTGCCAAGATTTGGTCATCGAGGATTTGTTAATAAATAAGAGGACCTTAAAATTAGTCAAATTCCAACTAAGTTTAAAATACAAAATTGGCTTTACTTGTAACGATACATTAGGACTCTTGCTGCATTCAGAACCTCACGCAATCATTGCAAGAGAATACTTAAAAATGAAAAGTGCAGCTATGCACAAGTAGTCCAAGCCAAGGTCGAGAGCAAACGACATGGATCCTCTAAGTTCTGGATACTCTCTAACCAAACTCTCAATAGAGGCAAAATGTCAGTTCATACTATCATAAATGTACAAGAAGTTACCTTATTCTCGCCAAATAAGGCAAAACTCTTCACAAAGATCTTTGTCTCTAACTCCACCTTAGATGACAAGGGTCACTCCTTCACAACTCGTGGGACACAGTCTTAGTAATCTTTCTAACAGTCTCAAGACTTATAAAAAGTTTTGACCCTAAGAAGGCTACTGGTCTAGATAGAATCCCAGTGGTTGTCCTTAACAATATTAGCTCTGAATTATCTCTAATATTAGAAAATTGTTCAACTGCTGCTTAAAGAAGAAATCCTCAAGGCTATGGAAGGTACCAATCGTATGCCTAGTTTTCAGGAACACGGATGAGTGCTCATCTCCATCTCAATATCGGCCTGTCAGCTTCTTCAGTGTCAATAGAAACCTCTTTGAGGCTATAATCAACAAGAAAGTCAAGCACGTGAAGAAGGGCCTCTTCAGCGACAAACAATATGGATTTAAATCTGATCGGTCCACTGCTGATATCTTATTACTCACAGAATCAGCGAGGCATTAAACAATAGACACATCACGAGGACGATCGCATTAGACATATCGAAGACCTTTGACAAGGTTTGGCATGGGGATTGCTACACAAGCTCTCCATCTATGGAATGATTGGAAATGTTGTTATCAAATATCAAGTCCTTCCTATCAGGTAGGTCTATGAAGGTAGTTGTTAATGGCCAGTCCGCTGAGACCCGTGAGATTAACGCAGACGTCTCCCGAGGTTCGCTTCTCGGTCCAATTCTCTTTGTTTTAAATTAATGATCTGCCTAAGAGCATACTACGATCTCTTGTGAATATCTATGCAAATGTTATAACAGTATACGGGTGAACCTCCAAAAATCTAGACAAAAAGAGCCTGACAGCCGATCTCTCCTCTGATCTGACTCTACAATTGAACGGGAGAAAAACTGGCTGTTTTCATTCAATATCTCAAAAATTAATCTTTAACGTTCTATCATCACCGAGCAACCCTTTGAATTTCCCTCTATCGCAATAAACGAGTGTTGTCTAAACGAGGTCCCTTGCCTTTTGGGACCTAAGATGACTCCCTAAACTGAAGTGGAGCTTGTATATACGATCTATCACTAAAGCTGCTGGAAAATCTTTCAGTTCTCTATACCACTCTACTAAATACCTGGCTCCTTCTGCTATACGCTATCTTTATAAGAATTAGATCAGACCTAAAATGAAGTATATATCTACGCTGGTACTGCCCATTTCTCACTTTCTAGTCTTGGTAGAGACCAAAAGCGTCTACGTGGCCTTGTGAGTGATAAACTGTTTCTCAACTTACAACACATTTTCCCCCACGGACGAAACGTTGAAGCCACTCTACCGCTGTTTCCATGAAAAATGTTCAAACGAGCTATATTCCTTAGTTCCCCCAACCCTAACCCTAACCACCTAGGACCCGTCATGCCACCTACATTGAGAAGAACCACCCACCATTTCCTTCGTATTCCTTTAGTAAGGAGAAAGTTCCACGTGGATAGTTACAATTAATACACTTTCAATAATCGTGATAAAATTTAAAATTGTTTTACATTTTTAGCGTTCGTAGTAATGAACATATCTAACGTAAAAAAAAGATGCTACACTAAACAAAATGTAGTTCATAGTAAACAATCGTCCTGGGTAAGACGTTAAACTACATCTGCGTCCTGGGTAAGACGATAAACTACATCCAGCAGCAAATTGCTGGTGTTCCCAGGTCCACCCTGACCCCAGGTGGTAGCACCTGTCAGGGTCCCAGCTATGGGCAAATAGTTAACTATTACCAGCAATACTTTTTTGAAAAAATTATTACCAGCAATACAAATTTGAAGGAAAAAATATTTTTTTTGACTAAACAAAATATTACGAACAATAAAAAATGTTGTCGGCATTAAATAACCCATTGAGGTTGATATGCCGTAAAAACAAAATAAACCAAACCAATCT